CCCCCCCCCTGATGGATCATCGAAATGTTTACAGACTATCAATGCTAAAATCAGGATTTGATTCTTGCAGTTGACAGAGCGCAGGTAATTCATTGTGTAGCTTTGTGCTAAGAACAACAATAGTTTGTCACCTCGGTGGGTCAGCAGTAAGTTTAGGGACTTACAACGCTAAAATCCGAGATTCAATTCTTCTGTGATGGACAGAATACAGATAGGTCATTGTGTAGCCGTGCGCTAACAACAGTAACAATAGTCTGTAATGTAAGAAGTTATTAATGGTTTCGTTTTGCTTCTTCGGGGAATGCAGTGGTCAGAAGTTATTAATGGTTTCGTTTTGCTTCTTCAGTGAATGCAGTGGTCAGAAGTTATTAATGGTTTCGTTTTGCTTCTTCAGTGAATGCAGTGGTCAGAAGTTATTAATGGTTTCGTTTTGCTTCTTCAGTGAATGCAGTGGTCAGAAGTTATTAATGGTTTCGTTTTGCTTCTTCAGGGAATGCAGTGGTCAGAAGTTATTAATGGTTTCGTTTTGCTTCTTCGGTGAATGCAGTGGTCAGAAGTTATTAATGGTTTCGTTTTGCTTCTTCAGGGAATGCAGTGGTCAGAAGTTATTAATGGTTTCGTTTTGCTTCTTCAGGGAATGCAGTGGTCAGAAGTTATTTGCCAGTTTGAACAAGAACACCAAGAGCCCCGTTCCAGGTCCGATCCCCCCTCGTCTACTATTTGGTCTTCCACGTCTTCAGTGAGCACACTTCCACCGTCACGTTCTGACTTACGACACGGCTTTTGTGAGTCAGAGCAGCTTCTAACCAGCTCAATGTCGAGTGGATGGGGATCTGGATTTGGATCAAGCCACTGGCTCGGGAGCACTCTGAGCTCCAGCGAATCGAATCAGTTGCAACTGAGAGTCGGAAACAGCGCTTCAGAACAGCAGCTTGTAAAAAGCAGTCCGGAAATAAGTCCTTACAGATCAGTTCAAGAATCGTCTGACGTCACTTCCAGCTACAGTTATGAAGTAGCTGTCAGCAGCAGTGGAAGCGAGACTAACGACACCTTTCTAACAGTAGCATACGAAGAACTCCGAACATCGATTCTCACCAAAGGTGAACTGAGGCGACGTGAGGCATTATGGGACCTATTTCAGAGTGAAGTTATGTTCCTCTACGATCATTTAATGGTGCTCAAAAACGTAAGTTTATCATTCTCGTGTTTTTTTTGTAAAAAGATTTTCATTTAAAAAGTATATTTCATGTCTCGTTCCTCTGAATTATGTTTTCTAAGGTCAGATTAGAATGCTGATGTTAACTTCAAGTCTTTAGAGCTTCAACAAATATCTAGTGTATGAACACTAATATATTTCAGGTTTTCATGGAACCTCTGAAGAAGATACAGGTGGAAGGATACGTAATGTTCGCTCAACCTGAAGTTCTGTTTGGTAATCTGGACGAACTCTGCTGTGTAAGTTTTACAAAAAGTAGTCCCAAAATACGCACAATAAGTACTGGAATTTAAATTTAAAAAGTTTTGAAGATTTAAGTTGTTCGGATGTTTAAGATAATGGCTCAAAGCAACCAAAATAGACTTAAATAAACAGATAAACAGCAAACAATTAAAGATGGGTAAATTACTGCTGTTAAAGAAGAATGAGATATAGTGTGAAAAGTAATATTTTATG